GAACCCGGTGTGCCAGTGCCGCTAGGCGCAGGATTAGCCTAGTGAGCTGCGGCGTCGAGCCTGTCATTTTTACACGCGGAAGACGAGGAAATGTGTTTGCAGATCCTACACACATTGGAGCACACCTTGTACATAAAGCACACAGACATAGTCAATATTTTTCCTTAACAGTTTTTAAAAAGTCTTATTTATTTGAAAGTCAGAGTGACTGGGAAGGAGAGACAGGGAAAGAGAGATTGTCCGTTCTCTGGTTCATTCTCCAAATGACCACAATGGATGGAGCAGGGCCTGGATGAAGCCAGGAGACTGGAGCTGCATCTGGGTCTCCCTCTCGGGAGGTAGGGCCCCAAGCACTGGAGTCAGCTTCCATTGCTTCCCAGGCGCATTCTCAGGGGGCTGGGTCAGAAGTGGAGCAGCTGGGACTCAAACTGGTGCTCAGAGCGGGATGCCTGTGGCTTCTTCACCCACTGCACCCTAACAGCAGCGCTTCCTAAGGACAGCGAGGGAGGGCATCAGCAGGCCTTTGGTGCTAGTAACTCAGAGGTGCCCTCTGTCTTCTGTCTTGATTGTGTGATGGGCAGCAGAGGGGAGGTGAGGACTCAGCCTGGAGGCACAGGAGGTCGCGTGCCCTTGGCTGCCCCACATCGGGGATGGAAGCTGCTTGTGACAAGCCGCCCCCAGGAGCGGCTGCCTTGTGTGAACTGGGTTTTGCAGGGATATCATTCCTTTCAGGATCCCAGACTCCTGCCACGCTGGTTAGTCTCCGACTCACCGCCATCAACCCCAGCTGCACCTTGCCTAACTGATATACGTGCAAGCTGCTTTCTAGTTTAATGAATAATCTCTGGAGACAAATTTCATTTGATTTTTAACCTTATCTCATGTAACCACTAATGATAATTAAAAATTATTCTAATTTTAAAAAATCATGCTTTTTTGATGTGTTGTTATGAGGATATTAGTGTGTCACTGACAAGACCAGTGGCTCCACATATTTCCAAAGCAGGAACATAATAAAATGAGATTTCTCCCTAGCTTCAGTGTTACTGCAGTAATGGGGATTTGGGAATTAAAGTGAACATTTCTGGAAACATCTTTCTCTTGGCAAACGTAGGCTCAGAAACAGCCGGAGTAGGTACCCTCAAGCCACACCAAGAGCGGGCTGAAAATGTAAAACTCAAGAAGACCCACGGCTTTGCCATTGTTGACACGTTGAGAGCCCATTAGTTATAGTGTGGTTGAGAACACTCTGATTTGAAATAATTGTGTCAACAAAAAAATTAAATGGAAACAGTGAAGATACTCTCACTTTATTTGGAAGAGGAAGAGAAATGTTTCATAGTAAGCCACACCATGTGCTTTAATGATGTTTTTGAGGGTATTGCTAAGAGCAGACGGCATGTGATTTATTTGTATCAACAAGCACCCTTTTGTGAGCACAAACGTGATGTGGCTAATGATTACAGCAACACAGCAGCCTCATCCGGATGCATCTTTCCTATCCAGCCCAGTAGCTCCCCCGAAGAGTGGACTTGCAGAATCCAAGAACAACTTTGTAAATCCTGTTTCCTCAGGAATGCATCAGAGTTGCTAATGCCTATGTTGACCTTGGCCTGTTTCTGATATGTTTAGGCACTTGTGTGTGTGTGTGTGTTTACGTTCTTATATATTTTGTTTTAAAGGTTGAGCTGTGAAACAAGAGTGCCTAGTTTAAATGGCAGTAGGTTTGCTATTTTGAATTGTGTACTCAAAATTTGTTAAGGGTGCTTAATGACAGAACATGAAAATAGGGATGATGAAGGTTCTGCTTGATTGGCTTAGGTGTAGGCAGCACATGCCTTAGGGTGGGGCCCTGTGGGTGGAGCCTGTGTCCTGAGCACTATAAAAGGCCAGAGACTCAGAGCTCCAAGTCCCTTCAGGGAGGAGCCCAGAGCAGGAGAGGTGAAGGATCTGGCAGGGGCCTCTCAGACCTCCAAGCAAGTCTCCAGCTCAAGGTGAGTTGTCTGTCTTCTGGGCCAGATCCACAGCCCATTTCTCTTTGGCGACCACTTGTTTTCCCAACTCTCTTGCCTTTGGATGTTAGGAAGGGAAGAGCCAGTCTGTCCGAGTTCACAGAGCTCTGCTCAGCTTCCACTCCAACATCATTTAAAAGTTTAGTTTCACTTCAGGTCACTTTTTTTCAAACATTTTATTTATGTATTTGAGAGGTAGAGTTACAGACAGTGAGAGGGAGAGACAGAGAGGAAGGTCTTCCTTCTACTACTTCACTCCCCAAAAGGGCTCAACAGCAGCTGCGCCAATCTGAAGCTAGGAGCCAGGAACCTCTTCCTGGACTCCTGTGCGGGTGCAGGGGCTCAGGAACTTGGACCATCTAACACTCCTTTCCCGGGCCACAGCAGAGAGCTGGATTGGAAGAGGAGCATCCTGGACTAGAACCAGAGCCCAAATAGGATGCAGGCAAGCAGGCAGAGGATTGAATTACTGGGCCATGATGTTGGCCCCATTCAGGTCACTTTTCATATGTGAATGCATTTTTCTTTAGGAGGAGGGGGAGGAGGAGGATAAGTGTGTGCAGCATAAGTATGTGTGCAGCATGAATCCCATCTTCCTTTTCTAGCATTAAATCATAAAAATTTTCTAGGTTTTTACTTAAATCCTAAAGTAAAGGCATGTACTATTTTTACTAATTTCATGATACCTAACTAAAACATTTCTTCATTGATGGATAATTAGATTCTGATCATAATACCATAATACAACTGCTATTCATGGTCAGGTTTCTTTATCAGGTTTTTTGGATGTATCCCATGGTGTGTTAGCCAAGCTCTTGCAGACTGAAAAACACCATGATCAATTTGCCTTAAAAAGAAGGATGCCTGTTGTGTGTTTCTGTGGGGTTTCTTTTTTGATGTTGTTGCTGTTGATTAAAATTATTTACATTATTATCATATTTTAAAAAACACTTCAAAGGTGTTTAAAACTGCGATTATGTACTCTCTCGATAATGTGGAATTCTCAACACATTGTAAAAGTAAGATTTTTTTATTTAAAGGCAGAGAAACCCTGAGGGATAGAGAGAGAAAGAGATCTCCCATCAATGGGTTCAATCCCCAGATGACCACAGCCCCTGGGCTTGGACCAGTCTGAAACCCCAACCCAGGAACTCCATGCTGGTCTACCACCGGGGTGGCAGGAACCCAGGTATTTGCACCATCTTCTGCTGCTTTCCCAGGCTCATTAGCACGGAGCTGGATCAGGAGTGGAGCAGATAAGCCTCCAATGGCTGCTCCATGATAGGATGCCAGTGTCCAAGTGGTGTCATGGACTACCATTCGCCACACAGGCCCCATTGCATCAGGTTTATACACAGTGTGCTGATCAGGCGACAGTGCTGTGGCATACTGGGGGAAAACTGCCGCCTGCAGTGCCAGCATCACATATGGGTACCAGTTTGAGACCTGGCCGCTCTTCTTCTTATCCAGCTCTCTGCTCTGCTGTGGCCCAGGAAAGCAAGTTTTTGGGTCCCTGCACCACATTTGAGACCCAGAAGAAACTCCTGGCTCCTGGATTTGGATTGGCCCAACTCCAATAGTTCAGCATTTCAGGAGTGAAACAGTAGACTAAGACCTCTCTTACTCTTACTCTGTAGATAAATAAATCTTTATAATAACAACAACAAAAAAAACTGCTGATAGATTCTGGATATTTAATGTTTCCCTTTCTGTGTATTTACTTGGAATAAGATAATACAATGTAAGGAAGCTTACAAGGGTTATAACTTCCAAGTTTTTAAGTTCCATGTGGAAAGATATTCTGTTATCTTACACACCTGCATTTGCATAGTCTGATGCAAGTCAAGAGCATGGGAACCTCTAAATCTGTCGTTGGCTAGAGCTGCGAGGAGAGGCTGCGGGCTATCTGGTGGTTCTTGTCCCCCTTTTTAACAGTCTGCATCCATGGCTTAATCCTTGGACTATGATAGTGACTGCTCTTTCTTGTGTGATCCCGGAAAAGAATGTGGGATTTGTGAAGTCCTGGTGGGAGCTCTGCCAATTATTCAGTGCAGGTCCTTTTGCAGGGAGATCTTCAGGATTTGCCGCTCACAGAGGCAGGGCAGACTTCAGTGCTGGTTCTGATCATGGGGCTTTCCCTCCTCCAGTCAGCCATGCCCAGCTGTCAGAGTTAATCCATCCAGAGAATGCTAACCATGGACAGAAGGCCAGGGAGGAGGCTCTAGGTGAACTGGAGGTTCTGAAACTGTGGGAGCAGCTGGAGGGACTGGGGGGCATCTTCTTGGTCAGGAGCGTCTTCTTGGCTGGTGCTCAGCTTCTTTTTATAGAGGAGTTGATGACAATGATGATATTTTTATTCAAATTCACTCTAGTATTAGATTTTTTTTAAGAATTTTTCAGCATTTCTTCTGATGCTGCTTTGTCAGTAGAATTAATTCAACCAAGACATTCATCTTGCAGTGGATTTTGCTGTGAAGATGTTACATGATTTTCTGTACATTCTGGTTGCATTTCGATGAGGAAATTCTTTCTTCTGGACTGCAGGTGACCAGCGCCATACTGACTGGGGTGGAGACTGCATCCTACCAAGGTCTCATTGAACACCCACCTGGGCTCAGTTCCCACATAGAGAAGCTCTAGTCAGAGCAGACAGCTACTCCTGGGAGAGACCCCAAACAAGACCCCACACAAGGTAAGCTGCCTTGTGGCAATGACAATCAATCCTGTCCTCATTCTCTTGTCATCACTAGGGCTTTGGGGCATTTTTGTTTGCATTACAAGTGATTCCATTACTAGGACTCTCTGTGGACTGGATGTCACCTCCATGTTTCTGCATCCATTTATGTTCTTTAATTTGCATTGATTTAGATACATCCTGATCACTGCAGAGCAGACGGTGCACTGAGGGCTCCTGACCAACTCCAGAAGCTGCTAAAGGGAACTGACACCAGATCACTGCCAAGGCTGCTCCTCCGCTCCCCTGGGACCATGGCTAAGAACCTGCTAACACATACCACCTGTCCAATTTGCCTGGAAGATTTCCTAAATCCTGTCTCGCTTTCCTGTGGACATGTCTTCTGCTTTGATTGCATTCAAAGCTGGACTTCAGAAAGAGAGGAGGTCTGCCCCATCTGTCGCTCAGTCAATGAGAAACCGCTTGTGGAAGAGTGGCAAATCAGAGCTTTCACGCATTACTTCAGGCAGCAGGGTCCTGTCCTGGGGCTGCGTCTGCACCTCAGTGAAGAGCTGAGGTTCCAGGAGGACGTGACCCTGGACGCAGCTACCGCCCACTCCCTCCTTGTGCTCTCCAGCGATCTGAGGAGCGTCCAGTGTGGGAAGACCTCCCACAACCTGCTGGAAGACCCCAAGAGGTTCACTCACCTGGTCTGCGTCCTGGGAAACCCCTGCTTCTCCTGGGGCCGCCATTACTGGGAGGTTGAAGTAGGAGAAGCCAGGGAGTGGGCCCTGGGTGTCTGCCAGGAGTCAGTCGACAGGAAGTGGAAGGGTGATTTAACCTCCGACCACGGTTTCTGGATCATCTCCATGAAGGCAGGACTCATTCACCCCAGCACCAACACAGAAGTAATCGTTCCTGCAAGCCCTAGTCTTCACCGCGTAGGAGTTTTCCTGGATGTCGATTTGGGAGAGATCAAGTTTTTTGATGTTGGAAATAATACTCTCATCTACGTGCACAGGTTCCTCTCCACCGTGGAGACTTTGCTTCCGTTCTTCTGTCCGGAACTTCCAAGAGAAGGTGCCACTGGTGCCCCACTGAGCATCTGCCTAGAAGTTTCAGCCCTTCCGCAAGCTCTCAAGTGATAAAGACCTTTGGCCCTTGGTCAGGATGACGAGGAAGACACAATGTTAGCATATACTGTCAACATTTGGTAGATAATTTAGATTGTAGATTCTTGTGGTGGAATAATTGTATAGCATTTTTGAACAAGTCGGTAGATTTGCAACTAAACGAGCTCTGTATTTTGAGTAGATTTCCTCACTAAATAGCTATGTAGCCTATGGGGACACTAGGCACTGAGACCTCTGTTTGCTTGTCTCTGAACGGGAATCTGGATCTCTAAGAGCCAAAACATTGTGATGATTGCTACACAACATTGCACATTTCTTAGTCAATAGCAAAGAGAGAATATTAGTTTTAAGCAGATTGTACATGATGTGGGTAGAAATATTTTTTCATGAATGTATTCTCCTTTCTACATAATTTCTGATAATGATAGTTGCCAGGAGATAAAGTATTAAGCTTCCCATTTTTAATTCTCAAAACACAGCTCCATAAAATTTCTTGAAAGATGAAAACTGACCAAATTATTGGTGCCTACTCATGCTTTTTCTCATGGAATAGCCCTGGGCTTCCTTCAAGGAGTAACTAAGTGTGTGGTTGTCAAAATGGCACTGTCATGTAACAGGTAATGTGGTGGCCTTGTGCTCATCAGAATGTCAAGGTGGGGAAATGGCAGAGCATTCTGGGCCTTCTGCCATTGTTGCACAGGGAGAAATGGGTGCTCTGACCTTGGATTCCTGAACCCCTGCCCATGGGTGTGCTTTCACCTGCAGAAATGCCTGCCCCCTCTGAGATCAAAGCGCATCTCCCAGCCAGTTCCAGCCTCAGGACACTGCTGCTCATGCATCCACTGTAAGAATTCTTGTCACTCATGTTAACTCTTTGACATCTATACACCAAAAATAGTTTTAGAGGTTTCTTTTGCACTTATGATTTATTATTTTCATTTGTACAATTAGTTTGCAATAAAACATCAAACGCCGGCTGTATGTCCATTTGGGGAGTGAACCATCAAATGGAAGATCTCCCTCTCTGTCTCTACCTCTCTCTGCAACTCAGCTTTTCCAATCAATAAAAACATCTTTTAAAAAATTTTTAAAAATTGGATTTATGACCATTAAAAATAAATCTTAACAAAAGTCTAATTTGAAATACGCATGGTCTGTTGTCAATCTGTGCTTACTTTTGTTTTGTAATCAGTAGAACTTCCAGTGGTTCTTTGAAGGCAGTCATGGCATCCCACATTTTCAGGGAGGTGTTAATGACTTCCTTGCAAAACTTAAGAGAAAATTTACATGTATAAGTGTGATTGAGAGTTGTTTTGCACAAAATTAACTGATTAACGACAAAACAACAGTATAGGACATCTGCATTATTTAAGTTGCAGGGAAAGGCCATTTAAAGTCAGTCTCTAAATACTACCAAATGGGGCCGGCACAGTGGCTCATGGGTAAAACCACCACTTGCAGTGCCGGCATCCGGGCATCCCATGCGGGCACGGGTTCCAGTCTTGGCTGCTCCACTTCCCTTCCAGCTCTCTGCTGTGGCCTGGGAAAGATGGCCACAGAAATGGCCCATGTCCTTGGGCCCCTGCACTACGTGGGAGTCCTGGAAGAAGCTCCTTGATCTGGGCTTGCATCTTGGGCTGTTTTTGATAATTGGGGTGTGAACCAACAAATGGAAGACCTCTGTGTGTCTCTCTCTCCCTCTGCCTCTGCTTCTCTCTCTGTGTAACTTGACTTTCAAGCAAATAAATAAATATTTAAAAAAAGAAAAGAAAAGAAGCTGTCACTTTCTGCATTTACTTAGTTCTGGAACCACAATCTTGGGTTTCATGGAGAGATGTTCTATGTGTATATGTATGTATGCTACCTAAGTATTAATTTAGTATAGGTATTGCTTTCTACCTTGCTTTTTTCACTTGGTAATATTTATTTATATTATATATCATATATTTATATGATATTAGGTAGAGAGGTCTTCCATCTGCTGGTTCACTCCCCATTTGGCCCCAAAGTTCAGATCTGTGCCAATCTGAAGCCAGGAACCAGGAGCTTCCTCTGGATCAAACAGGCTGGTGCAGGGGCCCAAGGACTTGGGCCATCTTCTACTAATTTGCCTGGCCAAGCATGGAACCAGTTTGGAAGTGGAGCAGTCGGGACTTGAACTAGTGCCCATATGGGATGTTGGAACTGCAGGCGGGCTTTATGCACTACACCACAGCATTGGCCCAAGTGAAAATTTCAGTGTGTATGCTGTGCATGTATTGTCTCATTTAAAAATGTAAGTGATGGTTAAGCTTGAGAGTATAAAAGAAATTGAAAGCATGTCATTGTAAAAATGAAAAGAAAAGAAAGGTAGGAGGGAGGAAGGGTATTATGCTCTTAAAACAGCCTATGAAATGTGTTCCCTTTATATAAACAAAAAAAATATGAAATGGGGATGCTATCCAACTAACATTTATGTATCTCCACTAAAGCTGTTTGGAGGAAGAAATTAAAGAAATAAATAAAAATGTGAGGTATTGGAGCTATCACCTATGATGGTGGCATCTCATATAGGCACCGGATCCTGTCCCAGCTGCTCCACTTCCCATTCAGCTGCAGCTAATGAGCCTGAGGAAGCAGCAGAAAATGGCCCAAGTGTTTGGGACCCTGCCACCCAGGTGAGAGGCCAGGATGAAGCTTTTGGAGTTGCCCTGGCCAACCAGTGGTGGTTGTGGCCATCTGGGGTGAAAACCAGAAGATGGAAGATTCTCTCTCTCTCTCTCTCTCTCCTTCTGTATCTCCCCTCTCGCCATCTCTCTGTAACTGTGGCTTTCAATATAAATAATTCTTAAATAAGGCATAACAACTCAAACTATGTATACACTACAGAAACCATCCTAAATATTTATCAAAGTACAATTTGTGTTAAAGAGAAACTTTTTCCATAGAAAAAATGATAAAAAATTTTGTTTGGGACATCACCTTAAAATGTACATAGTAATTACAATTAGTGTAATATCACATTATATGAGGGTACTTCAAAAGGTCATGGAAAATATTATTTAAAGGTGCTTATTTTGATGCAAAAAACTGGAATCCAAACACAGATTTTTCATATTTATTTTCCATGAGTTTTTAAGAACTCACATATGTATGGATTTCAACTTTTCTTCACCAAAATAAATTTATCTTTTAAGTACATTTTCTGCCCAGTGTTTGGAGTAGCCGCATACATAATACAAACATCAGGTAATCATAGCAAATAAGCACGCTTCTTCACCCAAGCAGATAGATCAAATGATTTTTCTAACGTGATATTACAAAACTCCCATTCTAATTTCTGGTCAGCTTTGGCAGCAAGGCCATACACAGGATGCTCTGGGCAACAAATCTTCCGAGTTTTCCAAGGGCTCACTTCCCCTTTGACACTAAGCAGCTCTCCAAAGGAGTATGTATTCATTTTCACCTTGTTATTGGTTTGGAAAGTTACTACACATCTGTGTTCTCTACAATGCAGCCCCTTCTGAAAAGGATGGCTCCTCTCCTTGTGGGAGCAAGCCCGATGATCTCCCCACGCTGAGAGACAACAGGCCCGCAGAGGAGCAGACTGAGAGGAGCCCAGAGCAGACTCCCTGGGGACTGAGGAAACTCATCAAGATACAGAAGCCCTCTGAGGGAGTGCTGTGCCAGAGCCGAGCCAGGAGGCCGGACACTGCCCTGCTGCTCAGAATGTGCAGAACCTACTGCTAGACCGAGGCTCAGACTGAAGCGTGGAGACCATCATTGCCTCTGAACATGGGCCCCCTAGTCAGTGCGGAGGACTCCCGGCCCGGGCAGGCGTGAGAGGAAATTGGCAGGAGGCCATTAATGTGAACACGATTTGGTGGAAGTTTTGTGAAGCTGCTTCACTTCTGTGGACATCCAGATTCAAGAATTAGTTTGTTTGGTTCTGTTTTGTTCTGTCTTGTTTGTGATTGTAAAAATGAAAGCTGAATTTAATTAGTCTAAGATTTTTCTTTTTCACAAGATGTTAGCATAGTATAGGAGCAGAGTGTAGGGAGAGAATAGAGGGATAGGAGGTTTGGAGGGCCCTGGTTGTTTTTCTACTTTTTTTTTTTTTATTTGACAGATAGAGTTAGACAGAGAGAGAGAGAGAAAGAGAAAGGTCTTCCTTCCGTTGGTTCATTCCGCAACAGGCAGCTATGGCTGGCACTGTTTGGATCTGAAGCCAGGAACCAGGTGCTTCTTCCTGGTCTCCTATGAGGGTGCAGGGCCCAAGCATTTTGGGCCATCCTCCACTGCCTCTCTGGGCCACAGCAGAGAGCTGGGCTGGAAGAGGAGCAACTGGGACTGGAACCTGATGGCCATATTGGATGCCGGCGCAAAAGGTGGAGTATTAAAGAAGTAAGCCATGTTGCTGGCCCCTGTTTTTCTACTTTAAAAATATTCTTTCCGAATTTATTTGGAGAGAGAGCAATAGAATCTCCCGTCAACTGGTTCATTCACCTGGGTAAGATCAAAGGATGGAGCTCTATCCAGGTCTCCCTTGCGGGTGTGGGAATATCATTACTTGAGCTGCAATTTTAAGTCTTTTGGGAAGGGTTTCTAGAAAGATTCTAGAACATGCCCATTAAACCATTTTCTTTGGGGCAGATATCAACTGAGAAGTATTTAACTCAGGATCAGAAAAACACGAGACAAAAGATGGACAGATCAATGAGAGGCTTCACTGGGTCTAAGGATTCAAAATGCAGGTGAGGTAGGGTACCAGGGGCCCAACTTTAAACTGGGTGTGGGAAGGACATGAAATAGAATAACCAAGAAAAACACCAGGTGTTTTCTATGTTTTATTGCAAACAAAAACGTCAATTGTATAAATGAAAATAAAATCACAAGTGCAAAGGCAACCTCAAAAACCATTTTGTTTATTCATGTCAAAGAGTTAACATGAGTGACAAGAATTCTTACAGTGGAAGCATGAGCAGCAGTGTCCTGAGGCTGGAGCTGGCTGGGAGATGCTCTTTGATCTCAGAGGGGGCAGGCGTTTCTGCAGGTGAAAGCACACCCATGGGCAGGGGTTCAGGGATCCAAGGTCAGAGCACCCATTTCTCCCTGTGCAACAGTGTCAGAAGGCCCAGAATGCTCTGCCATTTCCCCACCTTGACATTCTGATGAGCACACGGCCACCACATTACCTGTCACATGACAGTGCCATTTATTTTTTAAAGGTTTATATATTTATTTGAAATTCAGGGTTACACACAGAGAGGAGAGGCAGAGAGAGTGAGAATGAGAGAGAGAGAGAGTGAGAGAAAGAGAAAGGGAGGTCTTGCATATGCTGGTTTTCTCCCCAATTGGACGCTAAA